ATTCATCGGGCAGATGGCCAATTGCTTGGGCACACGGCTAATTATATCGGGCACACCGCCAAATATATCGGGCACACGACCTCGGTGTGCCAAATTAAACGGGCACATGGCTAATTATATCGGGCACACCACCAAATATATCGGGTGCACGGCCAAATACATCGGACATTCGTCCAACTTAACTGCAAAAAGGTGTAGTAGTACTAGTTATGGGAGTATTCGAGCGATGCTTGAAAAGTTTGGATTTGTCCGATATAGTACTAAAGTGAAGGTTAGTCGACAGGTTGAGGTGTAGTTTGTTTACACATGCCTTTGGGTCGGAAATACTCGTTCGAGGTACTTGGACAACCATTCAGCACCATAATTCGTACTCTATTGGTTGCTACTTTTGATCGTATACGTATCCCAACCACGAAAGTTGGGGTACTTGGAGTAGCCGACGTTGGTTTGATTGAAATCAATCCATTTCATAGTTTATGACCTGACGGGAGGCGCCATGCTTACTGTATCTCAGGGGGACACGACGATTCGATATATGCAGCCACCTATCTATCCATTCCCCCCCTCCCAATGAACAAATCCAACTCGAATAAGTCCAGCCTCTAGTGTTGTCGATAATGTCCAAATAACTGTCTTTCGGCCAGCGTCGGTGGCAATCGGCCGAAAGGTTTTGCTCAATATGTCCCCCACCCCCCAAAGTCAACCCATATTGCGTCCGCTGGTACTTGTCGTGTACAATTCAAAGTGCCTAAATCAGTGCGCAGGGAACTGTTAGGTGAAATACCACTCCCCACCAAGTCGTCCCTAGCCCCTGTAACGTCTGTCATAGCCACTAGCCACTCTCCATACTCCCCTCCAAGTCTCTTTGCCGTTGGCGTTGTGAGTCGACTCATGAGATGATGTCGTTCGACTTGACATGAGCGTCATATGCACGGGAAGTTGTCCCCGCCATTCGGTGTAAAGTATACACGAAGGTCTAGTACACTTGGCCGTGAGTGAGTGCATCTGTGAATGAGAAACGTGTTAGTGTCGATTCGAGGGAGTAGATCAATTGACAGCATCTCCAAATCGCAGACAATCGATATACGACCAATCAAAACCCACAACTTGAATCTAGTGACCAATACTAGTAATCAAATTATCCACTCTTCGACCAATTCAACATCGAATTAGTGTGAGTGTGTGATTGAAATTAGTGTTAACAAGTCAGTACAATGAGAATCGATAGATTTGGCGGCAAAGAATCAGCACACAAAAGGCCAAAGTAAATGGACATTAATAGTACTATTAATAGTTAGTACTTACTAGTAGTATAGTGTAGTAGACCCTGATCTCGAAGTGGTTGATTTGCATCGTGACGTTTCAAACGTGTTTCGAACACTGGTCGATTTGAAACACTATTTACTGTTGAGCATGGACTTACACTATTTTCAACCCCGGTTTGTACACAGTATTTCCCGGGAAAAAAGTACTATAGCAACATGTTCGTGGTGAAGGATTTGCGCAAGGTGCCCGAGATCGTGGCCGACCCTGCCGATGATCGGGAACAGTTGCGGCTCGGTCGACGGTCCACCGAGTTCGACGGCAACCTCCGCATCTTGTGCAGCCCTGTGAACATCCCAGCCTTCTCTAGACTGCAAAAGCTCTCGCTCTATGACAACCAACTCTCGTCTATCGACGTACGTCGACATCTTCATCATGTCGTCTCAAATCCTTGCATGATGTTAGGGCATTGGTTTGCTGTCGTCCACTCCGTTGAGCATCCTGGACTTGGGCCAGAACCAACTCGACCACCTTCCCCACGAGGTACATAGTATGCAACCACGGATCGGCAACTCCTGCAACTTGACCCCCATCCTTGTCCTTGGACGCATTGTACAGATAGGATCGCTTCGCCACCTCAAGGAACTCTGGTTGAGCAACAACTGGCTCACGTCCGTCCCGGACGTACGTGTCCCCCTTCCGACAAGACATCACCTAACAGGCTCGTAGTCCGTGCTCACGCTTCCACTGCTATCGATCCTCCATCTGTCCAACAATCGCATTACCCACATCCCTTCGACCATCGGCGCGGCGTCGGCGCTGCAGGTGCTCTCCCTCGACAACAATCATCTACAAGACGTGCCAGTCGAGATTGGCCAATGCGCCGACCTCGTCGAACTCAACCTACGGTACCACCCCACCTGGAATTAGTGTGAATTATATCCCCGTCGTTTCACTGGAATTAGTGTGAATTATATCCCTTTTCGTTTCACTTGGTGGATACTATCTATACCAGTGTCGTTTGCATTGAAAGGATTTGAATTTTCTTCTCCTTCCCATATTATACATGGAAATATATACACATGGAAATATATACACATGGAAATATATACACATGGAAATATATATACATGGAAATATATATATATATATATATATTTCATGACGATACATATTTTTCATTGGGTGTATATCGTACATATACATGAAGATACATATGTTTTCATCGGATGTATATCGTCGTCAGTGCATTATTCCCAGTTTAGAAAGTAATATATACATTATATTATATATAGTTTAGAAAGTAATATATACATTATAATATATGCATCGAAAATATACAAATATATATATATATATAGAAATAGGCATTTTTGCATCGATACATACATCTTGGTCAGTGTATAGTATTATTGCCTGTTGCATCCTTTTTTCCGCCATTAACTGGTTACTGTTAATAGTACTAATCGTTAACGATTAATCGTCATATTAACTACTACTCTAGAGGCAACCAGATCACAGCGCTGCCGTCCAGCCTGGGAGAGTGCCGGTCGTTAACTACCCTTGCCGTGAGCTCTAACGCTCTGAAAATCCTTCCCGAGAGCTTGGGAAAGTGCCGACATCTCACTGCCCTTCATGCTAACGGCAACCCCATCGCGCACTTCCCCACTGCTCTTGAGCGATTTACGAGTAAGTACAGACTAACTAGTATTATCGCCGATAGTTAGTTAATACGCGTGATTTGGCTTTTTTTTTTGGTGATTTTGGATGGTTTTTGGCGATTTTGAACGTTTTTTGGAGATTTTGGACGATTTTTGGTAGATTTGCGCGTGAATTTGGCGAATTCGGAGATTACGACGTTGCTCGTGGACGAAACGAATTGGAAAGTGCTGACACATTTGCACGTGACGACCAAAGAGTCGACGGCGTCAGTGGACAGGAACGTGTTAATCGTTAGTGGCACGCCGTATGCCAAGCACAAACTAACAGTTAAACAACCATCCAACTAAACAACCCAAAACATGCAAAATCTATAATAGTAGTAGTACTAGTTAAACTTGGTTAGTATGACTATTGTTTGTATCGATCGGTATTTACTTAAAGTGACGAATGTCGGAGTCAAGTAGACTAGTACCTGGTACTACTGTATTAACTGTCATTAAACATCCCAACGCTGCGAAAGTATAAAGGACATACTACAGTAGTGTACTACTAGTACATACTTCGTTGTATAACGACTAGAAACGACATAGTAGTACTAGTACTAGTACTAGTTTACAACACGACACAAAGCCTACAACTGCTTCACCACAGGCGTTTAGTTGGTCTCTTCGTCATCCCCAAACCCATCATTGACAAACTTGGGACGACGAGTGGTCGTGGGTTTCTTGGTCGTAGGTCTCTTGGTGATCCGCTTCGTAGTGGTAGGTGCAGGGGTTCCTGCCTTGGTGGTCGTAGGTGCAGGGGTTCCTACCTTGGTGGTCGTAGGTGCAGGGGTAGCCGTGGGGGACGAGTTTGCCAAGTACGGCTCGATGAAGGCGCGGGCGGAGCTGAGGCGGCCATATACGCCTGGCTTGTTGAGCTGGGCGCAGCCGAGGCCCCAGCTCACGACGCCAACCAAGTGGACGGTGGCATTGTTGTTGGTCTCGATGGTCAGCGGTCCCCCCGAGTCGCCCTGGCACGAGTCTTCGCCCGCCAACCCCCCCGCAGCCAACATGGTGTTGTCCACTGCGTACGGGGCGAGGGCCGCGGTAGCCTTGGCGTTGTCCCACGAGTCGACGGCGACTTCCTTGAGCACTTGCGACTGGGCCCCGCCGGATGACGTGGTGCCCCACCCGCGCACGATCGTCCGGACGCCGGCAGGAACCGTCTCAAAGGACACTGCCACAGGCGCGATGGTCGTGATGCTGCGGTCCAAGAGGAGGATGGCCACGTCGTTGGCGTTGGTGGAAGCCACGTATTTAGGGTGGCGGATCTCCTTGGTGACCTTGGCCAGCTCGCCGTCGGACGAGCCGGAGAGGAGGTGCGAGCCCACGACGACGGTGGTGAGGCCGCTGCCCGTGCAATGCGCCGCCGTGAGAATCACGTTGGGCGCGATCAGACTGCCGCCGCAGCTGGACGTGGACGTGGCCGAGCTTTTGAGTCCCGCCAAGTACCGGTGCGCACCGACCTTGGTTTCGGTGCCCCCGACGATCGCAATCGAGTTGTCTTGGGCACAGGCCAAGGCGGCAATAGAGGCTAAGGCAGCGAACTTCATATTGCTTTTGCAGGGGATATTGAATAATGAGACCTTGGAAGAGTACTAGTAGAGGCGTACCAGGGGACCATGTTGTTAAATGCAGTCGAAGCAACGTGCAAAGTCTGAGTTGGTTGCTTTCGAAAGAAGCCGTGATTTGATTTACTTCCCGTGCATGGTATTGCACGCCGTATCCCTGTAACCTGGGACTCCGTACTACCCGCGGTGAGTACATACGATGCGAAATCCCCGGGGTTAACTGCATCTCAGTGGCTAGCGATATCTAACCACACTAGCGATGCACTCAACCCTTAGTAAGCGATGAGATGGTCCGAGCATACAAAGTTCCATATAAACACTCAATCAAGGTGATATCATGGCATCCTACGCTGGTGCGAAAAGTGTATCCGGATGAACCACATTGACTGTGAAACAGAGTAACTTACCAGTATGTATTTCAGGTCAAAACAACAGTGGAACTATTTTACTGGTTTTACTGCTAATGAGGGAATTATTCGCCAACAACGCTGAGGTGGAAGTTAAAGGAAAATCGATTGAAAAGTGCTAGTACTATACGTATAGTACACGCTAACGTTAATCTAAGTGAATAAAATCCATCGTTGTCTATGTCTATAGGCAGGTAGTATGCGACAGCAGCATTGTATGGTGCAAACTCGTTTAGAGATTGCATCGACAGTTTCTACTCAGATTTCTTGGAGGGTTTCGTGGATCAGGTGGTGCATTACCTAATTGACTCAGATTGTCAATGACGAGATGCCATTGGCTGTTTGATAGCCAATCCAAACGCTCCAATCCCGTCCGTCCATATTTGTTAACCCCAAAGATCGCCATATATGCAGTATAAACTGGTCGTACACATTCTCAAGGTTCATTTGCTGGCACGCCGTGTCGATTCTTTCCGTAAATATCAAGTGGCCCTTACGAGCACTGTGGGCCGTTCAGTGAGTATCCAACGCAATCGAACAAAATGAACCAGATTGCCTGCTAACCACTCGATCTCTTTCACACTTACTTGATTTGCTCATTATTCAAAATCCCCTGCAAAAGCAATATGAAGTTCGCCGCCTTAGCCTCTATTGCTACCTTGGCCTGTGCCCAAGACAACTCGATTGCGATCGTCGGGGGCACCGAAACCAAGGTCGGTGCGCACCGGTACTTGGCGGGACTCAAAAGCTCGGCCACGTCCACGTCCAGCTGCGGCGGCAGTCTGATCGCGCCCAACGTGATTCTCACGGCGGCGCATTGCACGGGCAGCGGCCTCACCACCGTCGTCGTGGGCTCGC